GGTTAAGAAACGTTGCTTCAGGATGAGAACAGAAATTGCGCGGCAGTGGCAGCGGGAGGCCCCATTAGCTAAAGTGGTACCTCTGGTTAAGAATGGACCTCCAGAACGAATTAAGTTCTTAACCCAAGGTACCACTGTACTTGTGTTTATTGTGCTCTCAGTATCTATTTTTTGGGAGACTTTGTTCAGCGGGCAACTAACAAGTTCAATTAGTTATAATTGCTAAATATGCCCAGTGGTGTTAGTGCCTACCCTGTGGTTTGTTGAAGAAAGCAGTAAAAGGGTGTTGACTTGTCCACAACAGCACCCCTGGGCGCAGGGGCAGCTGGCCTGTAGAAGATGCTGTCTGTTGAATCCAGTTTTAACTTTGTTCCCCCCCCCTTCCACCCAGGTGAAGATGGACAAAGACAAGTTCTCTGTGTTGTTGGACGTGAAGCATTTTTCACCTGAAGAGATGAGCGTGAAGGTGATTGGGGACTACATCGAGGTTCATGCCAAGCATGAGGAACGGCCGGTATGTGGCTTCATGGGTTCTTTGTGGGGTGGCCCTGACCTAAAAGATCCCTGTGGTGCTTGTAGGGCAGTGTTCTGGGGACCTGCTATCCTTGAGCTGCCGTCAGCTAAGCTGCCTGGGAATGATGGGTTTTGTGGTTCAGCAACTTCAAGGACCCGAGGTTGAAGAACACTGGCATATCCAAAAGCAGGAAGTTAAAGCTGCCATCCTAAGTCAACCCCGGAAGCAAATCATATTGCTCTGGAGTCCTCTTAGTCTGTACGCAGGGATTTGGAAACCTCAGTAGCTAGAACGGCCTGGAAAAACATTTGCTGTGCACCACCAGTGTCCAGAGCAGAATCCGTAGCCCTCCAGAGGTTGTTGGAATCGCAATTTGCATTGGTCCCAACCAACAGGGTTTATGGCCGGGGTGCAGGGAATTGTAGTTCAGCAACATCTGGAGGGGCCACAGATCCTGCCCTGCTCCCCCACAAGCCGTGCCTGAAATGTGCGAAAACTACATGCATCAGTAAATGGAAGACATCTGAAGGCAGCCCTGTTTAGGGAAGCTTTTAATGTTTAATAGACTATTGTATTTTAATATTCTGTTGGAAGCTGCCCAGAGTGGCTGGGGAAACCCAGCCAGATGAGCGGGGTATCAATAATAATTATTATTATTATTATTATTATTATTATTATTATTATTATGGCATGTGTTGCCGCCTGAACTTCCTGTTTGAGTTGCTTTGGGCAGGCAAGATAAAGCGACTAACCAATTTAATAAATAAAATAATTAAGAAGTAACGTTGGAACTCCCTGCCTGTTGACATCAAGCAGGTGCCTTCACTGCACTCTTTTTCAGTGCCTGCTAAAAATATTCCTGTGGAAACAAGCTTACCTAGAGACTTAGAAAGCTGAGGTGATTTCATGTTTTAGTATTTTATCTCTAGAAGTAGGGTTCTAAAATTTTACTTGGGGTTACTGGTTTATCTTTCCGTAAACTGCTTTGACCTTTTTAAAACAATCAAACGGCGTATAAATTTTGTGAAGTAAATACATAAATTTCTCGGTGAGAGTCCTGGTTTCTGGACCCCCTTTAGTCACTTGCCTGTTTTTGCATCTCCGTTCTTTATAGGATGAGCATGGCTACATCTCCCGGGAGTTTCACCGCCGCTACATGATCCCCAAAGGTGTTGATCCGGCAGCCATCACCTCGGCCCTGTCTCCTGACGGGGTGCTATCCATCACGGCACCGACTACCCAGGCTCTTCCCGGAGTGGAGCGCAGCATCCCCATCAGCCGCCAGGAAAAGCCTGCCGTCACCGGAAAGTAATAGGGTAGCAGCCTAGCTTGGCTTTTTGCTCTCTGTTTTTACCGGAAGCCAGCAAGCATCTCAGGCCTGCTCTCCCCTCGCTAGTAGCTGCAAGGGCTGCTCACTCTTCACAGAAGTGACATTCCCCTCTGCCCGCTCCCTGCTGAGGTTCTGGCAGCAGAGACTATATATTGCCTCTAGGGTGGTGATCCTTTAGTGCAATTTCCCTACACTCCAGTAGGACCTTCCTGGAGTAGAGATTGGGCCCTTTCTTCTTCTGGCTAGGAGTACCCTACTGTTGCAGGCTTACTCTGTGCACCCACTTGTTTATGCCAGACTCCTGCTTTGTATACAAAACAGATGCCACTTGGGTACATGTTACGTTGCTAAAAAACAGATGTCCACATGAGTACTTGCTAATAAACGTGGGTTTCTGCCTTCTGAGTGTGTGATGGCATCTGGACGTGGTAGGGCAATGAACCTAGGCGTCATCCAGCCGGGAGGTGGTGGTAGCAAGTTTCCCACATCACTGACCATGGCATTGACCGCGTATCCAGTTAGAGCCATAAGAGTCCCGGCAGGATCAGCCTATCCAGAATATAGCATATTCCTTCAAGTGGACATCTTGCGAAAGTGAAAGAGTCAGACATTGGCATAAGCGCACTCTCCTAGGCAATATCCATAAAACACTCTAAAAAAGGATAGTTATTTTGCAGAAGCCATGCTGATTCTTCTCTAGCAAAGCTGTTCTTCTATTTCTCAGTGCTTTCCACCAGTTTTCCCAGGACAGATATCAGGCTAACTGGTCTGCAACAGCCCAAATCCCAATATATTTCCCAATACTTAATCTTACACTAGTCACTTTCCACTCTTCTGGTCAAAGGCTGATTATTAGAGACAGCTGCATGTTCTTGTTAGATCAGCAATTTTGCATTTGATTTCTCTTAAGATGCTCTGAGGGCTGCATCTGGACCCGCTGACTTCTTTGAATTGGTAAGGGATGCCTAGAGCATCATTGTGTGACGCCAATATTTGCAGTAGAACCTGGCAAGAGGGTTTGGTTGTTAAACCCCTGGGAATTGTAGCTCTGTGAGAAGAGTCTCCTACAACTCTTAGCACCCTTAGCAAACTGCCCTTCCTAGAATTCTTTGGGAGAAGCTTTGATGATTCAAAGTTCAAACTGCAGATGGGACCTAACCCATTAATTGAGTGGGTTGCGGGTGGTGCTTTGGGTTAAACCACAGAGCCTAGGACTTGCCGATCGAAGTTGGCAGGTCGAATCCCGCCAACGGGGTGAGCTCCCGTTGCTCAGTCCCTTGCTCCTGCCACCTAGCAGTTCGAAGCACGTCAAAATGCAAGCAGATAAATAGGTACCACTTCTGGTGGGAAGGTAAGCGGTGGTTTCTGTGCGCTGCTCTGGTTCGCCAGAAGTGGCTTAGTCATGCTGGCACATGACCGGAAGTGTTGCGGGACAACACCAGCTTCCTCGGCCAATAAAGCGAGCGAGTGCGAACCCTCGAGTCAGCCACAACTGGACCTAATGGTCAGGGGTCCCTTTTACTTTACTCTCAGCAGAGCTTAGCTCACACTCTGGCTTATGTGGACATGAGCTCTGTTTTGTGCAGCTGCGCCATGTGAACCTGAAGCTTAACAGACTCACTTTATTACCCCTAATGCCCGAAACAAAGGCCTATTGCCTCCATCCTAATTGCCATTCAAGCTTCTGATTTTGAAACTGTAATTACAAAACAGCTTTGCATGCAGTGTTTAAGACGCGTGAATCCTTCCACATTTCCAGATGTCGTCTCATGTATAGGCAAGTATCAAACGTGCTTAAAATGTACCGTGTCTTAACATCTGTGGCACTGTAGTCCCGGCAGAGACACGCAATACACATTCCACAAAGGACAGAAATTTGGCGGCTGCCTAATCCGTTGTGCGATGGATTAAATATATTTATTTTTGCAGAGGAGCCTTGTGGTGTTCGGCTTTTGCAGCAAAACAGTCATGTCAGTTGGCATGTCTTAACAAATTGGTTATGGTGGAAGTTTTTTGCAGGCTACAGTTCCAACTTATTGGGTGCATCTGATACTGGAACATTCTGCTTGGGGGAGCTACCTGTTCTGCCTGGGTGGCTATTACAGGCACTGGGTATGACAGGATTTTGGTCTGATTTAGCAGGATCTCCTAGGTGGGGCTTATTTCAGCCATGGAAATAAGTATTGGAAACATGCCCCGGGAAGGCTACCAACTTCCCAAGTCTTCAGAGCGTCTCTCCGGTGGTCCTCCCTGGCTGTAAATCACCCTCAGTCCAGAGAGACCAGTGATAAGTGACCTTTCTCTCCTGAGAAGAGCACACTAGTCTCTGGTACAGTGGTACCTCAGGTTAAGTACAGGTTAAGTTCCAGAGGTCCATTCAACCTGAAACTGTTCTTAACCTGAAGCACCACTTTAGCTAATGGGGCCTCCTGCTGCCGCTGCACCGCCAGAGCACGATTTCTGTTCTCATCCTGAAGCAAAGTTCTTAACCCGAGGTACTATTTCTGGGTTAGCGGAGTCTGTAACTTGAAGCGTATGTAACCTGAAGCGCATGTAACCTGAAGTACCACTGTATTTCATGGCAGAAGAAAGATTCGTAGTTCTAAAACTACTTTATTTGCAGTCTATATACAAAGACTCCATCAGCACGTCTGTGCCCTTTGAACACCAGTACAGAAACTGCGACATACAGAAGTGAAACTAACTTCCAACAGTACAGGAAGAGATAATACAGACTTCCTTTCTCACACGCTCTCACTCACATGATGTCCACAAAACATAGTACCACTCGCTGGAGCAGCTCGGATTAATAAAAATCCTAACAATAAGTTCCCCAGAGTTACCAGGTTGCAAATTTTACTACTCTCTTTGCCCTTGCAGATGGGGGACAGAATCTACTTAAATGGCTGCCTGCTACATTTCTGTGCCCTGGTACTGAGGAGTGGGCTTTCTTGTCAGCCCACTCACTTTCTGTAGTAAGCATGAAGGAGAAAAAAGTGTTCCGCCTCTCTTTGGTGTGCCTGCCTCTAACTCCTTGCCTCCCTGTGGTGAGTAGTCTAGTATTTAAACCGCCTAGCACGGCACCCTTAGACTAGCATCCGTTAATTGCTTAATTTGTACTGACTTTGCCATGAATGGTCAAGAAGACCAGGGCCTTGAAGCTCTAATCTCTGCAGGTGGAGAGAATCTCTTCCTTGCCCAAGGGCCACATTAACTTCCGGGGGCCATATTGTCACTCTTTTCTTTTAGAGGGACTTTACATGCAGGTCGCTACAGCCTCCCGGATAAAGCTTTGTCCCAGGTTTCTGTGTTTAATGCTGCAAAGGATGGTATTATTTTTTTTAACACTGCTAAACTAGATGGTAATCTTTATTGTGGAGAGGAAGTGTTGTAGATTTCCCCAAGCAATTTGAGGAGAAACACAAGACTTCATGACTTCCCCATGACCAAGATATCAATCGTTGGTTTCAGCCACGAGCTAGCTCTCTGTACGTAAGCCCAGTAAGTGAAGCCAAATCTAGATGCAAAGGTGGGCAGAAAAGTGAAAATAAAATTTTAAACTTTGTATAGAAGGCTAGACTGATCGAACATTGACCACACATCGCTCTGCTCGCCTCACGTGGCCCTCCCAAGTTTTTTCTGGGTGGATAGTTCCCTAGATTTACAGAAGCCGTCCCAGTTTCTATTGATCCCAGAATGTCCCACTTTCCTTGGGACGTGCCTATTTTCATCAGAGAATGTTGGAGGGTGTGGAGTTATGCGACCCCCGAGCCAGGAGATAAGTAGGTATACAACCTGTAGAAGATATCTGAAGGCAGCCCTGTAGTCATCTGTCTGTCTGTCTGTCTGTCTGTCTGTCTGTCTCTATCTCACTCTCTCTCTCTCAACACACACAAAATCTATAGGAAGCTGCCAGAGTCCATAGCTTTCAATGTTTCTCTTTTCTTGTGAGGAATCCTATTTGGAATAAGGGAATGTCCCTTAAAAAGGGGGAAAGTTGACAGCTATGCCAGAGTGGCTGGGGCAACCCAGTCAGATGGGCTGCGGTAGTATTTTTATTTATTATTTTTATTATTATTGAAATCTTGGAGGGTATGCCCTACTCCTCCATCCAGGTAAGCAGGAGGTATTATCAGAGTGCAAGGATGTATTCTAGCCAGGCAAGAAGGATGAGAAGCAGGCTAGTTAAGGCATGTAGCTTCAGGGAAAGAGGGTGTGACTTCACAGTGTCCCCTGGCCCAGGTACAGAGATTTGGAGGCTTAAAACAACAGGGCTTTCTTGCCCACTAACAAAGGAGGTGGAGTGGTGGGCTGTGGCTCCGCCAAGCAAACATGACAAATCTTTCACACTTGACTTTTCTTTCTAGCGCCGCTGTGTCCTAAGAAACAGACTTTTTCAGCGAAGGCAGGTGACCACAAAATAGCAAATAAAGGGAACAACACTCGAGCAGAGTCAAAAAGTACCATTAACAGCTAGTTTGGACAGAAAACCCTCGGCACCAGCGTGTAACTCCTAAAGAACGGAATAAAAAGGGACACATTCTTCAAGTTGTCAGTGCTTGCCTGTGTTAAAACTTAATGAGCTTTTGGTTCAGAAAGCAAGTTAAAAGAAGAAGAAAAAAGCTGGCAGCCACCCAAATGAAAAACCACAAGTTTCCTCTGCTTTGCCTTTTCCAAAAGCAGAGGTTGCCAATGTGGTGCCCGCAGAGTCTCCCCGCCCCATTGAAAGTAGGCTTGAAAGAAGTGCGCCTATTGTAGCCAAGAGAAAATAGGTTGTGGTGTGTGCTTGGCTGGAGTATCTCTGCTTTGCAAATGTGCCTACTGACCCAGAAAACACTGGCAACCCCTGCCCTTATTGCACTGTGATCTACTACATAAATACAGGGATATTTCTGCAGGGCAAGCTGGCTGTGGATTCATGGAATCCTAGATCATCCCTGCTTATGCACACAAGGTTTTTTTTTTGCAGCCTCTACATATCGTCTCCTTCAAAATGCCATTCCACTTCCCCGCTCTCCCATGTAATCTGGATTTACTTTTGCTTACTGAATTTCCTGCAGAAACATTAAACCCACATTAAATGGGGGAATCTGGGGTAATGTTTTGAAGGGGAGGTCATTTGGACGCTGCACAAAATTCCTGGAGTGGTAGAGCATCTGCTTTGCATGCAGAAGGTCCTGGGTTCAAACGCCGGCTTCGTCGGGGAGGGCTGGGAAAGAATCACTGCCTCAAAAACCATGGAGGGTTGCTGCCAGTCAGAGTAGACAGTATTGAA